CTTTCTTCCTTCCCTTGCATACGAAGTGTGGAGAAGTTGGAAAGAGGAATGTAACCAAATTCCACAATGAAAGACGAGATAAAAATGAGTGTCGCTAACCCCGCCTAAAAGTGCTAGCGCTCAAGCTTTTCCTCATCTCTTCATCCGCTCTCCAGGCCTCTGTGATACCTTCATTAAATGCGCATCGTGGAAAGATACCCATGTCTCCTACTTCGACATGCAGAGACAGGATTTTGCCTTACTTCCCAAAAACATCGGAAGAGAGAAAGCATGCGCCTCGGAAAGTGCTTGAGTGACTCACTTGGCTGACAATGGGGGAGAAGGTCTTTTCAAATTGTCCGAAAGCATTGGTCGGCCTCCTGACGCAACCCAACTCACGAGAGGCAATCACTTTCATGAAGTCCGCGTTTTCTGCTAACTTCTCGTGATTGTACCCTCTGGTATTGCATTTCTCGCAAATACTCTCCCTGTGAACAGACAAGAAGGTGGGGAGGCAGGAGGGCTTTTGTGAGCAGCATTACATCCATGCTGCGCCACGGTACTTCTTACTTACCGTCGCAATGGTAGGAAGGTGCAGACATAGGAGTCCAGAATCAACGGTGCCTCAATCAAGCGCCTCAAATGAATGGCCTAGAAGGAGATTTGGCCAGTAAAGAACGCCAGCATAATCAGCAAGGAGAAGGAGGAGAGGATGAGAAAACACACTTTCTTGTTTCCTCCGTTCGAAGTTAGTCCACCTTCTTCACCTGCACTGTAGAGTTCGGTGTGGAACTCCAGAAAGTGATACATGGACTGTCTGTGTTCATGCTGAATGAACTGCAGCGGTGTGAGATCATCCTAGGGTTGGATTAGAAGTGTGTGTGAGAGAAAAGCTGCGGATGAAGGCGTAATGGGGATGGCAACGTGGGGATGCGACGTGAAAGGAGCGACCGATGGATGACAAAGGTGATTTACTTAAGGGAGATTGAATTGAGTGAGAGGATGAATTGATGCATTTAGGCCGGGTAGTTGAAAGGCTAAAACGAGGATGAGTCCTACTGACGCAGAAGGCTCATGGATGAATGGAAGAAAAGCCAGCATGAGAGGAGGGTGGATGGTTATGGCCGAGTCAGCCTTGACCTCAGGAATAATGCGCATGCCTGCGGGCATGGAAGGCGAGGGACTAGCAACAACAAGTTGATGGATGTGGGTAAGAAAAAGGGAGGGGAGCAGAAATTGGTGTCACGAGTACAGCTGAGCTAGTGAGTCGAGAACAAGGAATGAATGCATGAATAAATAACTGCCGATTCATTGGTTCAGAGTAGAGTGCCCTAGCATGAACATGTAGGTGAATGGATGGATGCATGGAGGTGGGATGAAGGAGTGGTCGACTGGGTGGTGGATGAGAGACTGACTAAACGGTCGGATGGATAAGTGGAGTGATGGGTGAAAGGCTAAGGAAAGGAAGGGCAAATCAAATAGCAATCAATCGACTGAGATGGGTTTGGTAATGGCTAAGATTAAGAGAGAATCGGAAAAGTAGGAAAACAACTTGGGTGAATCCAAACTGACGGAATCGACGCATTTGAGAAGGCCTTTGTTGTAGGTGAGGAGGGTGATCACCGATTCAACGTTGGTCTGCGCGGCGTAGTGCAGAGCGGTACGCTTTGACTGAAAGGCACACACCAATGGCA